TAAATTTTTGAGAGGTATTGGCTTCTTTAAGTTTACCACTCAGATTTGTAAAATGGTTCCATAGCATTGGGCCACGATAGGAAATGGCAAAGCTCGTAGTTTTGATGAACGGAAAGGTTTTTTAAATCTTCCGGTAGATCGCGTGTTGTATCGGTTTAATGTTTTATGGAAAATATTTTCGAAAACCTTCGGCGTTTTTTTTGACTGATGTTGAAACATAAACTGTGTAATTTTGAAAATATTTAACTCATAAATATCAAGTGCCCTCAAGATATATTTGGTTTTTTCTGTATTTAAAGATAATTTATTTGCCTTGAACCAGATGTTGAGATTTTAAAGCTCAGCGTTCATTGATTCATCAATAGATTTTTGTCATCGACAAACATAATAACATCAAGTTTTTTTAAGGCTTTTGGAAGATCATTGATATAAATTAGAACTTTACTTTTTTATAAATGTTTTATATTCAAAGTTTCGACAAAAACTGAAACCTGTAAGGAAGAACCTAAATGAATGGGGCAGTTTTTGTAAAAGACTTTTCAAAAGTTGATAAAGTTGTCTAATTTATACTTTGAAAATAGTTTGTTCCGCGAGAAGAAATGCGCTATTAATTCCGATTAATGAAACAATTTTAATGTTATGTTTGGCCCATCATGTTTAGGCCATGATAGGAATAATGATTTGCTCCGTTAAATTGTTGTGTTTAACATTTCTTACCACAGGAGTTTTTTTACCAATTAACCTTAGATGCTTGTAAGAAAATTTGATTTTGTCCCATTCAATCAGCGTTCCATTCATTATAGTTCTCCCCAAATATTAATATTAAAAGTGTTTGTTTTTCTAAATTACTTTCCTTGAGCTAGATTTTTCTATTAAATTTTCTAACAATTTAAACGGTTTGATTATCCAGAATTAAACAAAAATACATACCTGACCATAACATTTTTTGTATTTTCTTTAATATTTTTTTCACCTGTGTTCTTGAGGTGACAAAGCTAAAACATGAATAAAAGTCTAGAGAAAAGTTCATGTTCGAATAAGACAGGATTCATTTGGTTGTTTGTCACAGTTGTTCTATAAAAGCAACAAAATAATTGCTCAACCAAATATAAGACAAAATTATTTAACAAAAAATACAAGACTGTGAAAAACTCTACAGAATGTAAATAGCTATCAGGTCACTAAAATAATTCTCGATTTATGTATAGTATGAATTTACCATTTACATTTTAAGTATAAATTTACCTTTTACACCATATTCTGGTAAAATGTGAGAGCAATTTAAATATTCATCAAGAAAATGATGAAATTAAATAGGGTTCTATCAAACAGACAAACTTTAAAAATAGAAAATATAAATATATATTACCAATTTTCAGTACTTCCGCTTGTCTTTTAATCTGGTTTCAAGTTCATAAAATTCTTCAAGGGACTCAATCTTTTGAAAATGGTTACGCATACATTTCCTGACATTTTATTGGCACATTTGCAACAATTTTTCTCAAGTTGTTATTGAAGTTATATGAATTACTGAAACCATTTATTACTGAAACCATATGAAATACTGAAAACTATATGCCAATAATAACTCATACTTATGCAAAAAATCACACAAAAATCATCACGATTATTTGGCTTGTTATCACCAACAAATAATGATACAATAAATGGTGTCCCTTTGTCAAACATACATAATGTAGGTCTGTGTGTTTGATGACTTGTATGAGGGAAGGGCATTTACATTGACAACTTGAAAAATTGTATTTGCCTCAAATCTATAATGCTAGTTGACTGCTAAAGTTCTTGATATGCTGTTTAAAATACCAAGATAAACATATTTACCTCCACATTTTAACTCACTTGGAACATTCCTAGGAGTATTTAAAATTGTTCTTGTGCATTTTGGTAAATCAACATGATGACCATACTGGTGTAAAATTAAAAAAAAATAGTTCATCGCTTGCATTTCTAGTTATTCTGTGTTTTAAAATCCATTTGGCAATCTCTGTAACAAGTACTCCATCTTTAAGATCTTCATTATCATCATTCATAGGAACCTCAGAGTCTAGATCAAAACTCTCAGTTTCAGAAGTATCTTTATGGTCAGACACAAAATAAAGTCACTATAGTTCTTAATATGAATGTTTTTAAAACCAATGCAACTGTCAACTTCATATTGGATTTATCATGCGATGAGTTTGTCGATATCTTCATTTACAAGTATATTATTTAAGGCTTGATAACTTTAGTGCCATTCCCTCAAGTATTGATTTTTTTCTTGTTTATTCATTTCTATTATTCTGAAACGAATATAAATCTCATCTAACTACGATTGATCAAAGTAAGTTTTTTACTTGCTAGCTCATTAATCTCGTATAGTTAAATGTTTGTATATAATTGTCATAATTAAAATCATACAGTTGAATGTTTGTATCATAGTTAAAATCCTAAAGTTAAAAATCTAATTAAAAAGTAATAATTAATAGTCATAATTGAGCCAGGAAATAAGCTGAAAACAATTTTTGGAAAGACAATAAGAGCATATGCTAGCCTTTATTAGCTATGATTATTTAGGCTAAAATAAAAAATAGCTAAAATAATATCTGAAAATAAAAAATAGGTATTACAGGTTTTTCAACAACGAAATGTTAACGTTAAATTTTAGTTTGCAAAATAATGTCCTTTGTATTTTTTTTTAAAGTTCATTAGTTTAACATTAAATTATTAAGTTAAATACATATACAAACTAATACTAAAAATGTGAATATACAAGATTACAGGTATAGTATATATTATAAATGTACAAAAAGAAACTAAACAATAATAAATATAACTGCTTAACAATTGCTTGCATTCTCTATACATATTGTTACACATTTAATTACTAATGGAGAGGCCTTTTCAATATTTCATTTATTTGAGCTTTTGTTAAAGACTCTCTATGCTTTCTATAAATTTAAATTTTAAAATACATTTTATTTTACTTACTTTATAATTTGATTTTTTTAAAGACATAATGCATACCAGATGCTTGTTGAAGATATTTGAAAAATTAACCTTCCGGTTTCAAATTAATAATATACTTACGTTGTTTGTCGAAATATAAGCAAAGTGACCAGTTTATTGAAATTCATTTTCCGCAGTTAATTTTATTTAAAATATTATACTATATTGCTCAGAAAGAGTAACTATCAGATTCAAAAGGTTGCCATAGCAGCTTTAATTTCATAAGCATAAGCCGAATGTGCCAATGTTTTAAACAGAGAAATCAGTAAAACTTGCAGGTGATTCTAATATTTATCACATCACTGTCATTCTAATATTTTTAGCAGGTGATTCTAATATTTTTCATAGATGAACTTCGCCGATGAACTTGCAGGTGATTCTAATATTTTTCACATCACTTTCACATATATAAAACATATATCAATTAGATAAAAAAGTCAATTAAATCTTCTTTATCGGCAACAGAAACCTCAACAACGTTAAATAAACTTTGAAGATTATTTTGTTCATGGCAAACCTCTTTTATTTGAAATTAATTTTCCTAATATATATATCAACTATATATTTTTAATGTTCATTGCTTTGTATTTAAATGTAAAATAAACTTAACCCCTATATCTGTTCAACGTTTCGCTGATGTTGCTTTAAAGGCCAAACTAAAAATTACTTTCCTTGTTTAAAAAATTTTACAATGAGTCTTCACGTGAAAGAGATCAATCTGATAGTGTCAGCAGCAAAAAATATTTATGAGACTTTTCATAATAGTAAAAGAATTCAGAATGCTAACGTTGCTGTTGTCAAGATAGACTCCAAAGTCATTCCCAACATAAGCAGCTATTATTTTTTTCAGTTTTTCATTGATCACATGTTAATATGATCAATGAACCATGTTAATATGATCAATGAACCAATGACCATTTACAGTATTGGTAAAGGTCTTCTTTACCTATTCCTTTACTGAATCGGTAATGGTAAAAAATGGGAATAAATGTTTAGACTTTTATTTCAACTTGCAAAAATTATACTGCATCAACAATTTCCAAAAAACTAAGTGTTAATAGAAGTATTATCACTGTCAGGTTTTGTACACAGCATGATTGTTCAGAACTATTTTTTGATAATAAATCAATAAAAAAACTCATGCTTTAATTTTGAACATCTTTTTATTTGAATTTGTAAAGTTTATATTACGTTTTTTTGTTGGTCGTTCTTTGATTAGTTTTCCGTTATTAAAACGCACCCGCCATTTGCAAAGAGTTAAGTTCTTAAGTAAAAAAAGTTTTATCGCAAATATGAGAGGTTGAAGTTATACTAAACTGTTAGTATTGTTAATTGAACCAACAATATACTATTACTTGCCTGCAAGAAGTGGATTTTTTAAAGATTTTCTTTTTAGAAATCATTTTATATCGTCACTTCATGAATGCATCAAACCGGTTTTTGCATACCATGTTTCAGTAAGTCTAGTTGATTTTAACGAACGAGATTCACGCTTTGTGAATCATCTATCAAAGACTCTGTTTGCTGTAAAAGTACGATTGTTCGTTCTGATCAGAATAGCTATATTTAGCAGAATAGCTAAGCCAAACTTTTATACTTTTTCCATAATACGACTTTTTATGTTTCGAACAAAAATGATTAATAAATATTTTAAGTCATTTTTATAGTAAAAACACGTTTAAAATTATTTTTGAGTTTTGTTTCATGACCTTTTACGTTCGTAAATAAAAAAGAAAACAAATATTTACCAGTTTTTTTAAAACTTCAATTGAAAAAATAACAACAGGAAAGTAACAATACGATATAGTCCGATAATGAAACTTAGATATAATTTTGATATAAAATAATAATAATAATAAAATAATAAAATTTCCATAATATAAAATAAAGTTTCGATATAATCCAATAATAAAACGTAATTACCGTCATGTTTTTGTTTTCATTATTCAAATATTTTTAAGCTTTTTTTTATTTCAATGTTAAGATTAGAGAAATTATGCGACAAGTTTGCTAAGATTTTAATAAACATATAAATAAAAACTAAAAAAAGAAAGTCTTCCTTACTTTGTATGTATCTTAATTAGTAGTTGTAAATATATATTTATTAACTAATGTGTAATTAAGAATGTATTAAAAATACATGAAAAATTTCCTGAAAACTAATTTTCCTGATACCGCATCTTTAAAAGCATAAATAATTAAACCTGTAGATCATTTTTCAAAGATTCTGAAATTGTGTATCTTTCATTCGACGACAAAATTTGTTCATTGTTAAGCTTTTTGTTTTGTTCAATTAATATAACGGCCTCCTTTTTCAAGGAAAGTTCTTCTTCCAGAACATTATTATCTGTTTCAGGGGATAGATTGTTTAACAGGACAACGTTATAATAAGCACTTTTTTCGATTTCAAAGTTAAAATAACAATCGCCTTGAGATAATTTATCATCAAAAAACTCACGTAACTCGGTAAAAGAAGGTCGTTTTAATGGATCTTCATTCCAACATTGTAACATGATATCGTACCTAGAATTATATAACAAGGCAATAATTATTTCTTACTATTGATTTTAAATATTACCTTAACAAAAAAAAAAAAAAAAAAAATGTAAAGGATTACATAGTCTCCGAACAATTTTCCGGTCGATCCATCCTGTAACCGGACTTTAAAAGAGCAAGAAGTTCACGGTTACTTATTGAAGGATATGGTGTACCTCCTTTAAAAGCAAAATTAAACCATTAATACAAAGAATGTAACACGTTACCAAGTAAAATACCGAATTTATTTTTATTTACACTTACCTAGCGTAACAATTTCAAACAAAACAACACCGTACGCCCATCTAAATCATTTTTATAAAAGCTTATTATAAATTTAATCTATATATCTATAAGTAATATAGATATATTGCATCTTTGTTATAATATTCAAACAAAAAGGCATTTAAAAATATGTAATAACACGCAAAAAAACACATACTTATAACAAAAATTCGTGAGAAAACACTTTAAACGCGACACAAAAGTACGCGAACCATGTAACATTTTTTACACAACAAAAAAAAAAAAAAAAAAGTTGAAACAAAAGTATGCTCGTTGAAAATTTTTTTCATGTTGCTTGATTACAGTCTTAAACTTACAAGAAACTATATTCAAATTTAAAATATTAGCCTTGTAAAAAAATTACAAGAAACTAAATTCAAATTTAAAAAATTATCCTTATAATAATAAACTTACAAGAAACATTAAATTTAAATTTAAAATATTCTAATAATAAAAGTAAGAAGCACATACCCATGTTCAAAGTTTAACTCAAAAATATTGCATAAAAATTAAGATATTTTCGTTACACAGAAGATATTAATTATAAGCTTGATTTGAATTTACTTACACATCACTGTACGATGTAAACATTTGGTCAAATATGGCTTCAACTGACATCCATTTAACTGGTAAACGACGATTTTTGTTGCTCATGTAATTCAACTCATCGTTGACTTTACGTGTCAAGCCAAAATCAGATATTTTTATGTTTTTTTCAGCACCAACCAATATATTCCTTGCAGCAAGATCTCGATGCACTAGATTGATACATGAAAGATATTCCTGAAGTTCAATCATAATCAATAAAAACAAAAGGTAAAAATCTTAATTATAGAAAGAAAACTGTAAAAAAAATTCACACTCGTACCATTCCCGAAGCCACTTGCCATGCAAAACTTAGTAAATCTTCTGGCGTAATGATTCTTATTTCGTCTAAAGGAATCTCATTTGGCATACATTTCGAAAATTGATTTTCACATACAGTTGTCTAAAAATGTTAAATATATATCGGAGCTATCCGGTCAGGTAGACATGAAAGTGATAATTCTTAGAACAGAATGTAGACTAAGGTCTACATTCTGTTCATGCATGTACTAGTTTTGATTCAGTATGTCTTACTTTTCCTATGTATTCACAAAGTCTGAGTTAATTTGTATAGCTTTTCGATGAAAAAATAGCTCTTGCTACTGGGAAAACATTTTTTTTTCTGAAAATATTGTGTTTTTTTTTAAATGTTGACGATTTATGTTACAAATGTACATTTGTAATAATGATTTGACATAATGACGATTTATAATATTGATTAATCTTATGCTTTATTATAATAAACTATTTTTTAAAAATAAATGGTAGTATCATCAGCGAACAATGCCACCTTAGATGCAAGAGTATCTGGAAGAATGTTAATGTAAATTAAAAAAAGTATAGGACCAAAGATTAAACCTTGAGGAACCCCTGATATTACAGAATATGAAGAAGAGTGCTGTCCATCAAGGACAACTTTTATACTACGATTAGAAAGGAGAGATTCAATAATCTTAAAGATGTTACCAGATACAAAGTAAAAAGAAAGCTTATGGAGAAGACGAGCATGCCAAACTTTATCAAAAGCTTTCGAAATGTCAAGAACAATGGCCTTAACCGCTCCATTTTTATCTAATGCACAATAAAACTTATTGGTTATTACTGTTAGCTAATCAGCTGTAGAACGAGAAGATGGAAATCCATATTGATGATTAGAAAGTAAGTTATTAGTTTCAGAATGAGAGATTAAGTGTTTGTTAATTAAAGGTTTAAAAACTTTGCTTATGATAGGAAGAAGACTAATGGAATGGTAGTTAGACGAATCAGATTGCTCTCCAGAATTTTTGAAAATAGGGATAAAAAATGCTGCTTTCCAGCAGGCTGGAAAACAAGACTCTGATAAGCACTTGTTAAATAGTTTTGAAAATATAGACGACAGCTTTGGAGAACACATCTGCAAGACTATAACAGGTATGTTGTCCGTGGCACAAGCTGTAGAAGAGTCTAAGCAGGAAATCACTTTAGAAACAGAAGTGATACAAATGTCAAGCAATGGATCAATCTGTTTGACTGCTACATCAGTTAGAATGCAATCAAGAGATGATATTGATGAAAAGTTCTTAGCAACCAATTCAACTTTGTTTTCAGGTGACAAAAACTGAACTATACAAGAGAGGTGGAATAACAGATTTGCCCTTATTATTGATACTATTAAAGGTTCACCAGAAGTCATGAGAGCCTAATTTTTCTGATGAAATCAAGTATTCATGACCTGAGAATAGCAGGCTTTGGCGTTAAAAAAAAACTTTTTTTCAATGGTTTCTAGCAGTAATAAACAGACGTCTGTTTTCTGGAGAACAGTTTTGCTGATAGATATGAAAGTAACAGTTTAAATTGAAAATTTCAGCAGCACAATGTGAGGAAAATCATGCAGAAGAGTGGGGCTTGACCTGGAATCGTTGAGAGGGAATAAAGGACTCCATGCCAGCCTGAATCCAGAAGTTATGTAAGAAGTACATTTGTCAGCAGAAAGAAGAAACATTACCCAAGGGCCATCACAAAGAATATCACGGAAAGAGTCCCAGTCAGCTTTAAGGTAGTTGTAAGAGGTACGATAATATGGGGATTCAGATGATGAAGAAGAATGATATAATAGTTTTAGAGATACCAAACCGTGATCATAAGCACCTAAGGGTGAAGGTGGAGAGTTTGAGAACTGACTAGGATCAGAAACAAGACATAAGTCAAGTAGAGAAAATAAATGATTCGAGTTGTCTGGAAAGCGATTCGGAAAGTTGACCTTTTGAGTTAGGGATTAAGTAAGGCAAAAGTTGTGGGCCTTAACGCCTGCAAAGCCACTGACACTAGAGCCAAACCATTCAGCGTGATGAGCATTTAAGTCACCACCAACAACAATATTTGCTGGTGTATAAAGAGAGATGGCTTGGTCAATATGATCGGAAATAACATGAATGAGTTGCCTAGTCATAAAAATAGAGACACAAGCAAAACCCATGGATTGAAGCTCCAGCATTCAGCATCCTAAACTGGAAACATTGTATTAAAAATACATCTGCGCCAACCTAATAGATAAAGAAGGGGTGCAAGGCTGGTAAACAGATAGAATCTATTTACCCCTTAAGATAAATTAAATTGACAGTGATTAAATTAACACTGATACTATAAATTAAAATTGACAATGATACTTAAACTGACAGTGAAATGAAATGTTTAGATAAAAAAGAGGAATGCTTTTGTGGAAAATCGAAAACTTTTAAAATCTTTTTGTTGGCTTTATATTAATGAGCTTCCATTTTGTTATATTGTGGAAAAGCTAGATGGGCCAACTTCTTCAGAAAAAGGATAACATGGAGCAGTTGTTAATCGTTTGTTAAAGTTGATAATCTTAAAAGAATTACTAAATTTACACCAATTACCCTCCTGGAGCCTTTAATTAATATAAGTGAGAATTTTGTTGAGCATATTAGCTCTGATAGTTTAGTTGCAGGGAAGTATTAGTATGTAATATTAAAAGAAAACCCTAATCCTGAAGTAGCAGCTCATAAGTGTGATAGATTATCTCACAGTCAATGGCTTACTTGTGGCATGAGATGCTTGCTTCCACATATTAGTAAGTATGATCTTAAACATGAGAATGCAGAAATTTTAAGGCTTGCAACTTGGGTGAGGTTTATCATGTTTATCTTCCAATATTGTTTGAGATTAAAGTAAACCATGGCATTAAGTACAGTTCTAGTCATCTTTTAAAGTTATTTCAACTTTGGCAGAAGCAAGATGATAAGATTAAGCCTCTAAACTTTATCTAAAAAGTAAATCCTGGTGGGCACATCCTGAAAATATATTTGTTGCACTTTTCTATTTTGATAACTAAGAAAAAAGGTCATTTGCTTTTGACATAATATTAGCAATTAGGGGCAGAAGTAAACATGGCTCTAGTGACCTTTTAAAGTTCTACAAACAATAAACCTTGATGTTTGATGTTGATGTTAAAGAATTTATTGATTGGAAAAAAAAGTCATTGCTGAACCAGTTTTCAGAGCAAACTTGTCATTAGCCCAACTCAATGCATTTAGAATCTCTCCCCTTAAGCTTCCTTTATATTTATTACATACCCAAAATTAACAGAGATCGGTCAAATTAATTACAGAGGCAGCTGAACTAGTCTGTGATTGGGATAAAAGTGATGGTTTTATATGAACTCACTTGCAAAATCGAGAAATAATGCCCGTGATGAAATCAAATAAAGACTTTGTTTAAGTAACCAATGCTAAAAAAAATCTAAAAATAAAATAGGTAAAAAATGTTTTAAAATAACTCTCACTTATTTTGATACGGATTTTTTGATTAACTTTTTGATATTATTTTACTGTTAATGGTTATTGTTACTGTATTTGCTACTTGGTTGTTTTATTTTCAAGCTTGTTAAAATTTAATAGTTGTTTTTATTAATTTTTTAATTTGCTTTATTAATTAAAGTACCCTTATTTGACATAAGTATAAACATACAAGTTTTTGGAGTTTGTTTTATGTCTGCAAGTTAGTCTCAAACATCAAAAAATGCTCAATCTGCCCCTGAACAGTCTAATAATATATCAATAAAATGTATCAATAAAAAATATGAACAAAGGTGTAATGATTCTTATTTCGTCTAAAGGAATCTTGTTTAGCATACATTTCGAAGTTAAATTTTCTAAAAATGTTAAATATATATTGTTTGTGACACAAAGAGAGCTGTCTATTAAATGGATTATATTATATTAAATGGACAAGATAATACTAAACAGAAAATATAATTTATGGAAGGCAATATATAGTAACAACAAGAAGGAAATATACAGAAACAACAAATCAACAATACATCCGATTAATAATCAGATGTCTAGTGGGTTTTCTGTATAGTATCTTATCCATTTTTAATCTTTAAACAGGTTGCTAAGCTATCTAGACTTTTATATCATGGTAGGAAAGGACAAGTTGGCAATGTATTAGTTTTGTTGTGTTGTGTCAGTCAAGATTTGTGGCATTCAAAATAGCTTTGTTGTGTGGTGCAAGTTAGGGTGGGAAAAGAAAAGGTAGTTATGTATTAGTTTTGTTGTGTGGTGTCAGTTACGATATTTTAGTTTGTGTTCTTGGTGAATTCCTAAATTAATAATATATATGTAACAAGCTGGTCATATGCCTACAAGAAAATGGAGGTGAGCTTCAAATAAAAAAAAAAAAAAGTTAGTTTTTCTTGGTTTGCATTTACTATTTTGTTTTAATCAAAAAAAATTAGCACAAACATTTTTTTTATTATTATTATCTTTAATATGAGCACAACCTGTCACTGAGGTTTGAAATCCCTTTAATGCTTTTTTTTTACAGTACTTTTCAATCACCCTGTGCATATCTCCATGTCAAAATAGCTGTGTAGTAGCGAATGAAACAGATACACATAGTCCAAAATTTCACCTGTAAAAAAATAATTTCTTTCAAAAGTTGAACACTATTCCTCAAACTACCCCTCAAACTATTACAAACTATCCCTCAAACTTTCATTAAAAGTTGAACATTATCCCTCAAACTATCACAAACTATCCCTCAAAATATCCCTCAAACTATCACAAACTATCCTTCAAACTATCAATAAAAGTTGAACACTATCCTTCAAACTATCCCTCAAACTATCCCTTTAACTATCAATAAAAGTTGAACATAATCCCTTAAACATCTTGTAGTTGAATTAGATGGAAAAATATTTTTAATAGTGAATTAAAAAAACTGCTGGATATGGTTACATTGTTAAACATTAATAAAACTTTAAAAAAAGACTGTAGGTTAACCACTTGTTGTCTTGACAGACTGCATTTAAGAGTCTTTCTGCTGATAATATACAGATATTTTAAAGAAATGTAACACCAATAACAATTGCATATTACAGAATTGTAATATGTCCATTAAGTGCATACCAAGCCTCAATTTGTAATCTGGCCGAGCAATGCAAAATATTTACTTTTTTGGAACTGATTAAAAAGACTTTTTTACTAGGAAGCTTTGTTTCTACTATTTATTTTTACTTCAGCTTTTATTAAAATAATATTTGGTAAGCTGATATCTTTCGAAAATTTCTTGATCAATAGCAAGACAAAATATAAAACATTGACAATATTACTTTATAAGATCATATACTACTAGTTATTTTAATAGGTTTACAAATTGGATTTTTATTGGCATGAATGTATGTCAATCTGTCATACAAATATATTATGTTTATGGTATATTTTCTAATTTTTAATTATAAATCATTGTTTCTTCTTTTAGATAATTATCTAGTTTGTTTTGACAATTGCTCAAGGATGACGTATTTATAACATCATCTGGGAGGGAGTACCATTTGTTGACTACTTGTAAGGTGAAAAAGCTTTGACAAGAAGCTAAATGACAATAAGGTTTTTCTAGTTAAAATGAATGTCCTCTTGTATTAGAATTTATATTTGTTTTTAGAAAGATCGTTTGACAGTTGTAGCAGTTGTTTAGCTATTTATAGACATTTATTATTTCATGGTTGCATTAATTTTTAATATTCTTTGGCGATATGTAAGATTGTGTAGACATGATGCTTGTTTTTGTAGCCTAGGTGTAAAACTGAACATTTTTTTACATTAAATTTCATCCCCCATTTAGTGGCCCAGTCAACCAAGATATCAATATCATTTTGAAGCGCGGTGTGCAAATATATATTAGTAAGAAGGTAAAATATTTTTGTTTTGTCAGGGAAAGAAGATGCTTATTTGGAATTTTGTCAAATGCTTTTTAAAACTCAAGGCAAACATTATCAACAGGAAGACCTTCATCTAAATTAAGTGCCCATGCATTGATTACAGTAAGAAGACTTGTTTCACAACAGTGCATAAAACCTATGTTGACTAGGAGTTAGTAGATTATTTTTTAGCAAATGAGTAAAAATATGTTTTTGTATTATTTTTTTTAAATATTTTGACTGTAGTGCTTGTTAAATTAATGGGTCTATAGTTTGTAACTAGTTTCTTGTCACCTTTTTTGTAAATTGGTATTATATATGCATCCTTTCAGATTTGTAGCGATGTACTAGTTTGAAAGACCTTAGGGTAAATAATAGAAAGATCTTTGAAGATTTCTTTTAATATTCTGGGATGTATTTGATGATTCTTATGGAACTGTATCAAAGCTAACCAATGACAATTAGAGTAATATATGTACAAATATTGTTACCGTTAATGTTTAAACTGTGACAGTTTTAGCAAATTACACCGGGATGAAAGGTCAGGGACAAGAAGTCCCAGAGTTTTGTAATTTTATTAATGAATAATTTTTTTTAATAGTAAAAATAATATTTAGTATAAATTAGAGTTAAATTTAAGTATAAAAAATATTATTATTACACAAATTTAGACATCTTGTTGAAAGCTAAAACATTTTCCAAACTTTTATTTATCAATATATTATTGATTGTAATAGTAAAATTTTAAAGTGTAAAATACCGAAAAGTTAAAAAATAAATAAATGAAAGACCTTTTTTATTACAAAACAATTAAATTATAAATTACAGTTTATACATTCAATAGAACAAAATAGTAGTGCGTAAGGGTCTAATTTTAAAAGTATATTACAATGTGATCTTGTACAAGATTGAATTAAAAATCTATCTAAAGGCCCAGATTATACACACAAGTGTGTACTCATATTCTGTTGTTATATACTTTACGGTAGTAAATTAAACAAAAATAAACAATAAAGTTGTAAAACCTTTCAAAATTCATACTTTAGTGCGTCTCTTTCTCAAATAATTCAACAAATCTCCATTCTCCATGAGCTCAACAATTAAACATAATGGTTTAGTACTTGTTGAACAACCAATCATGTTTACAATATTTTTATGATACCCAATTCCTTTCATTAGATTTATTTCTTCATAAAAATCATTATATTCTGTTTGGTCAGCAGAATCTACCAAGAAAAATTATCAAGCAATGTTTACAACACAGTATAAGTGATTTCTTCACAACAAAAACAACAGAACAGAATTGAGTGTTTAGTTATGGTGAATTTTGCTCACTTAATTTTTTAAAATAATAAAAAATATCATTACGCAATATTAAACAATAAAACTTTTATAAATGAAAAAGTAAGAAGAAAAGTGAAGCAAAAAAACTTACTTTATGCATTTACTGCTATTACAAGTACTTATTTATAGCATATACACACTTACTATATAACATGTACACACTTACTATATAACATGTACATTTACTAGTTCAAAAAAATCCTAATGCATTTACTGCTATTACAAGCACTTATTTATAAATTTATAAAATAAAATTTTATTTTAGGATTAACTTTTACACTTTAATTAAATTTAATTAAAGTGTAAAAGTTAATCCTAAAATAAAATTTTATTTTATAACTAGTAAGTGTACATTTAACAAAATGTACACTTACTAGTTTTTTAAGTTCTTAGAAGTAAATCTGAAATGTACACTTACTAGTTTTTTAATCTAAGTTCTTAGAAGTAAATCTGAAATGGGTAAAACTTTAAGTAAAAATTTGATGTCTTTTTTTATGCCATAATGTCTTTCTATTAAAAACAGTATTATGGCATAAAATTGGTCAAAAATTTTTTATAAATGTATATCATGATAAATTATTTTGATTGAACAGTTCTATTATAGAAATATAAACATTTAAAGAAAAAGAAAAAAACCTTTCAAAAGTTTTACAGCAACTTTAGCTGATTCTGTAACACCAAGTGAAGCAGTTTCTGGTTTCTGGTACATACTCTTTCGTTTTGAAAGAAACTCAGAATTAATTGTTGCAGCAAAAACTGTACCAAATGCCCCTTCACCAATTTTTTTGACTAAAGTGAAGTTCTCAGGAAATATTTCCCAATCATCAGCTGATAGTTGATCACAATTTAAGTTGGACCTAAAACATTAATACCTAGATAATAATTTAACAATCATAAAATTTCATACTTACAATAAAGTACAATAAACATAAAAACTTTTATTAATGAATTGCAGTCTTTACAGACAACTTTTAAATAACTAACTTTTTTTTTTATCTGATCTCATAAGATAATTATAAAAACCTCAGTTAAACAAAAAAAGTTTCAAAGACAAAATACCAATGAATTTTATTTCAAAACTAAATTTTCATTAAACAGAAGTTAAAAAAGCTAAAATAAGATTAACAATATTAATGTATTACTGTTAAAATAAAAAGTCTATAATAGAAAGATACAAAAAAAAATAAGTTTAAATGGTGACATACTTAACTAACGGTCTATATTTGTCTTAAAAAACTCACTTATATATGAAATCCCATTTTTTTGATTGTTGAATTGATTCGACCTTTTTTCTATAAATTTTTATTATAACAACAGATAGTAAAATAATAAACAGAGTTGATACAGAAGCTGCTATTGCAATAATAAGAGTTTTTTCTAAAATAAATAAAATACAAACATTATAACACTAGTTTCTGTCATTCACTTAAAAAATTAATATGCAATAAATAAATGTTATAGTATGTCACTTTAAAAAATTATAAAATAAATTAATATGTATACAATCTTAAGCGATAGTCTTGGAACACGACGAGATTTGATAGGAATGATGAGTTATGCAAAAATTTACTTAAAATCTTGAAGATCATTTTAGTAAGTAAATTTTTAAGAACATACAAGGCCTGTCTATAGTCTGTTTCATATTTTTAGACTTGAGGCGGTGTCTCTGTGCCAAAAACTTTTATGCTTTTGGCTCACCCTTTTTCCTAATCTGCGTAAGTAATCTTTTGTGCAACTTAAGTAAATTCTGTTGGTTCAAATCAAAAAAAAACTGAAGGTATGAGTGTAGCTAAGTAAGTTTTTTGCATCAAAATGTCTGCATCAAATGAATGGAAAATTACTTAAAGTCAAAAAATGGGGCAAAATCTTCATAAAAACGAATTTTTTTACGGTTTTTTTTTTTTTGTAATGTTTTTTTATATTTTTATAAATTCTGTGCGTTTATTTAAAAAAATACAAATTGAAACCTGAGAGATACAAAAGAAACTAATTTTTTTTTCGAAATGCTTTTTTTTTTGTAAGAAAAAATATTTAAACTCAAAAAATAAGCCAAAGTCTGAAAAAAACAAGCTCTCACTAATTTCTTTAAGAATGTTTTTTTTTTATTAAAACCACTCAACAAGAAAGACTTCTAACTCCCTAGGGACTTCCAACTCCCTATAACAAAAACTAAAACTATAATTTAAACTTATATATTAAATTTATTTGCTCATAGTTACTTTAATAACTAGATACCTATTAGTCATTAAGTTCAATAAAAAAAGTTACTAAATAAACAATTATTTAAATTTTAATAATCCAGTTAACATTTAATGTCACATTATTTCATTTTTAAGTACTCAGTGTAGTTAAGGAGAGATTTGAACAATTTGCATTTCTTAAAGGGATCCCCAACTGCTTAGACAAGTTGTGTTCATATTAAAGAAAATGTTTAATAAAAACATTTGGGATGAATTTTTTTGATTGAAACTAAATAATGAATGCATACCAACAAAACTAAAATTATCGTTTTAGTCGAAGGTTGCCTTCTCCATTTTTTTTTGGTTCTTGGGGTCTGTGTAATGTTAGCTGCAACCTGTAGACTTGATAATTTACTCTTGCATTTAAAAACATGGCAGAAGTAGAGGATGAAGAAATCCGCCGAGCAGCTTTAGAAGGTAGACCAACTTCTGTTATAAAAATGTCTTTGCTTGAAGGTCATGATAGACGTTGATACAATCTTCCTTTCCATGAGGAGGTCGCTAATGTGTTTGTGGGAGATGATGGTGCTCCACCTGCATGCAGGGAAGTTGTTATATACCTTCGAGGTCAGCCTTTAAAAACAATTTTGTCTATGTCTGCAAATTTAGATCCTATGGTATATCCAATATTTTTCCCGAGAGGTTATACTGGATGGCACAATCAACTGGAGCACAACCCTGACCGCGCAACCCGTGTTAGAAACCATATTACTTTGTCTCTATTATAATTATAGGCTTGCGGTTAGACAAACTTTTAGTCCTATATTCTATGGTAAGAAACCTTTTCAGCAATACGTTGTTGATGCATATGTCAAAGTTGAGGGACAGCGCCCTGCTTTTATTAGAAATAACCAAAACAAACTTAGAAGTGAACAATATGATACATTGCATGAACATGTAATTAATCGTGCTAATGATCTTAATGTAAGACTAGGCCGCGTTGTTATATTGCCTTCTTCATATGTTAGTAGTCCAAGAGCCCTAAAAGAAAACTTTGAAGATGCGATGACAGTCATAAAGAAATATGGTAAACCAGATCTATTCATTACTTTAACCTGCAATCCGAAATGGAGAGAAATAGTAGAAAATTTAAACCCTGGCTAAACTGCTAATGACAGACCTGATTTAGTTTGTCAGGTATTTAAAATGAAACTTAAATTTTTCTTAGAACATATTTTCAGGCATGGAGTCTTAGGCAAAGTTGTAAGTCATGTGCAGGTTATTGAGTTTCAAAAGTGTGGTTTCGCCACGTGTACATATTTTATTGCACTTTGTAAATGCAGATTAGCTAGAAACAGCAGAAGATATTGACAGTTTGATATCAGCAGAAACTCCAAGCCCAGCTGTTGATCCTGAACTTCATAAAATTATAAAATCATGCATGATACATGGACCATGTGGAATTTTAAATCCCAGTTCTTCCTGCATGAAAGATGGGAAATGCACTAAAAAATTTCCTAAAGAATTTAATCCCCACACTGTTGCATTTTTTAATGGTTATCCACGCTATAGGTGTATTGATAACGGAAGAATTGTCAATATAAAAGGTAAACAAGTTGATAACCGTTGGGTTGTACCTTATAACCCATGACTTTCTAAAAAATATCAAGCACACATAAATGTTGAAGCCTACAAATACTTTCGGTTGTAAAGAGAGGGCAACCAGCAGATATTGTTGAAGCCTGTATAAAATGTTCTCAACATTGGCAATATGTTCAGCGATTTTCATTAACAGAAAATATGAGGGTTCGGGCCGAAGAAGAGGAATTCTCTCAATGGCTTTTAAAACTTAGTAGTGGAACATTACCTTTAAAAGCAGATGGTTCCTTTTGCGGGTGGATTGAAATTCCTGAGCAGTGCTTGCTTGAAGCAAATGAATCTATAGTAGACAAGATTTTTGGAGTTGCAGAAGAAGATGATTATGCAAAACTTGCCATTTTGACACCCACTAATGTAGATTCATTAGCAGTAAATAAAGAAGTTTTGGACCATTTACCAGGCAATGTAAAAGTTTATTTAAGTGCAGATACTATTGAAACAGATAATCTTAACGAAACCAACAATTTTCCTGTTGAGTTTTTAAACTGTCTTACTCCATCGGGAATGCCTGTTCATTGCCTAAAATTAAAAATCGGTGCTGTTATGTTACTTCAAAATTTAGATCTTAAAGCTGGACTTTGCAATGGTACCCGATTGATGGTGCGTGCTCTACAAAATAATTATATTGATGGGCAAGTTCTAACAGGTGTTTCAGTTGGCATGAGAGTATTTGTTCCTCAAGTTCAGTTAGCACAATCCGATTCAAATTTACCTTTTACTCTTAAACGTCGTCAATTTCCTGTAAGATTATAATGTGTTATTTCCTATATGTTAATATATATGTGTTATATAAAGTAAAAGATTTATGTTTTTTAAATGTTTATGTATGTTTTTATAAGTGTTTACAGTTAGTAGTTTAAATATGTTCAATAAACTCAGGATAACTCAACCCTCAACAATATAAACTAATTTTGAAATTCCACTTAAGCTTTTTTTTTATATATTATACTACCAATAACTCTAATTTTCTTTAAACTAAACTAATTTCTTTGTCCTTTAAAGGTCTGGGTTATCTAGAGTTTACTTTAACATGTTCTGTTATTTAATTAACTGTAGTGATGTTTTATGGTAATAGGCTTAGCTCATATTCATGTTGATCTATCAGGGTTATGGAAAAATAAAAAGTAAGTTTCTTATCCACTTAATCGCATTTTTGAGTTTTCAAAAAAATTTATTGATTACATGACACGTTAATTTGTAATTAATGTGTATTATGTTTAAAACAATTTTGTTCCATTTTTAGGTCGAGTTCCTTTTCTTATGGCTGACTTGATTATGGCAATTTAAATCGAAACAATGTTTCAATTTAAATTGTTTTTTAAGGATTTTTGTTACTTTTTGTTAAATTTAATTTTTTTTTTTGTAATTTTTTTAAAGTTTATTTTTTTTACTTTATCTCAAGAAAAATATGATTTTTGTTTCTTAAGTAAATATCTATATTTTTTTATTTTTGGATTTATTGTTTCAAATGGATATATTGATCATTTTTGCATTGTTTTTTTTATTTTTGTTGCTTTTTATATATATGAATAGAAACCATTTTTACTTAAAATCATATTTTGTACTTTAAGTTTTCATTTGCATTAAGTATCGATTAGCACAAACAACATGTTTAATAACTTCGGATGTAAAAACAGCTTAATTGAATGAATTTGTTAACAGTTTTGTTTTTTACAGCAATGTTTTTATAAAGTGTCAAAGGGATAAAGATAACTTATTTAAAATAACAAGTCTCTTAGGCCCATTTTCTAATGTCAAAATTTGTTTTTTAAATAAATCTTGATGAGAGGGTAAAATCTTGATTATAGCTTAAGTTTTCAAAAACACCTGAAGAATTGTTACGCAACTGTCTCTATTATGTTAAAGATTGTTATATGTATAAAATAAGTACAGTTATTTTATACATATACAGTAAGTAAATAAGTACAGTTTCTAAAGTATATTAAGTCGATTGTTAACCAAAAACTTTAAATTGACTAATTTTTTGCTGTTTACTGAAGGTATAGAGACCTAACTAAGAACAAGTTTGAAAATAGCCCGATGTGGAATAGAGTTGCCGCGACCCAGCAATTGTTAATATATTTCAACAATTATATTAATTTTTTATAACTATATAATTTAAGAGTTTTTTTTACAGAAATCCAGTGGGCACCGGACCTAAATAAGATGTGTACAAGACGTTTTAAACGTCTTTTTTACGTCCATGCCCACTGGGAGGGCTTTTATATAATATATCAAACAGATAAAGCTAACTTATTTGAAATAACTAGGTCTCTTGGGTCCATTTTTTAATGTCCAAATTTGCTTTTTAAATAAATCTATATGAGAGAGTTAAAATATTATCATAACCTAAGTTTCACGCAACAGTGTTAAATGCTAAAGATACTTTTATTATGTAGAAAGTATTAAAGTAAATAAGTAATAATGTAATAAGTAAAAATACTAATTAGTTCTAAAGAACAGTAAATTAGAAATCAAGAACTGTAGGTAGTCATTAAAATGCAAACTGTGTACTTTTTAGCAAACCAAAACATTTTAATGACCACAACAGTCATGATATTAAAAACATTTCCTCATCGATTTTTTAAATTAAATATATTGGTATTTGATATATTTTATTTAAATTAGACTTTTCTTTTAAATTAATTATAATTTAACAAGCAATTAAAGTTCGATTTAATTTTTTTAAGAGTTGGCATTTTATTATCTGGTAGATGGTAAAATGTGAACTTTACTAAATAAATTAAAGTAAAAAGACTAAGGAACAAGTTTAGAAATTGTTGGGTGTGGATTAGACTTGACACGACCCGTATCGTACGGGTCATACCAGTTAGTTTGTATAATTTATTATAAATCACAAAAAATATTTGTGATTTATGAAAAAAATTATACAAATTATATATATATATATATATATATTTTTATATTTATAATTTTTTTTTACTTGCTTCAATATTACTTTGTTTTAAAAGCAAGCCAAAATCATGAGTCAATTATATATATTTTGTGATTATTAGAATTTATAAGCAGAGAAAAAATAAAGGCAGTATGATGCGGTTTCTTGTTTTATATTTAGTTCATATGGTTTAATAGAGTTGTTCGTTTTATGTTTAATTTACATTTAGTTACGGTTATTTTATATTTATAATTTTTTTTTACTTGCTTTAATAATTTGGTAATTACTGTAAACAGCATTAACAGTAATTACCAAATTATTTTAAAGAAAAAATATTATTTTTATTCATTAAATGAAGTTTGTTTCGGACTTAATGTTTTAGTTAACGAGTTACTACTTATAAAAACAATAGTTTTAAGAACTTTGCATTTCTAATTGTTTAATGATGTGTGTTAAAAACTATTATTATTGAATTTTAAATAATTGTCAATGTTATGCTATTCAAATGTTAGTCAAAAAAATGTGCAGTTGCTACAAATAATTTTTTGCTTGTCTGGTAGCGAACAATTTAATGCAATTCTTTGTTTTTTTATATACTAAAATATACAAAAAATGGTTATATATAATATTTATATTATAACTATTTTTTGTATATTTTAGTACAAATATTTGTTTTAACTTTAATTTAGTTTGAATTGAATGGTTATTAGTAAAATAATTTGTTTAATATTTATTTTCTGCTTAGTTTAGTTTATATGTTATATTCAAGTCACTCATTTCTTATTCAGCTTATACTTTAAATTAACTTACATGCTTTAGTAAAATTATTCTTTTAGTATCTAGTTTATATTTAGTTTAAAACAGTACGTTTTATTGTAAATATTTGTTATATATTAAATTTTTATTTTTATAAATTTTATAAATTCAATTCTTCATTTCATCATAAATGTTTTTTGGGGATTTAGTAAAAAGTTACATAATTAACATGATTTGGTGATTGTGGCAAAATAAAAATAGTACGACATCTTGAAAGAAAAAATTTATACAATGACATCATATACCAAAACTGTTATGAATTATACATGCATGGAATAAATTATCAAGTCTGCAGATTGCGGCTAACATTATACAGACTCCGAGAACAAAAAAAAATAGAGACGGCGAGCTTCGACTAAAACGTGAATTTTAAATTTAATGGTGTGCATTCATTATTTAGTTTTAATCAATAAAATTAGGCCCAAATGTTTCTTTTTAAACATTTTCTTTAATATGAACACAACTTGTCTCGACAGTTGGGGATCCCTTTAAAGACAAAAATTTACATTTTTAAACTTCAATTTTTTGTGTTTTCCGCCTATTTTTGACTGTTACTGTTATATATTTTTAAAAAGTAGAATTTCAGTTTTTATAAAATTTATTCTTTTGTTATAAATCTTTTTTTAATTAAAGCATCAAGCAAAACAAAACTACCACTAAAATATGTAAACGCGACGGGTCAGCGTCATAACAACAGCTGAAAAAAATGTGTTAAGTATTTACATTCCAAAAATGTCTCTTTTATTCGAAAGTAAAAAGACTTCTTGTTTACAGCATTAAAATATTCAATAAATGACAAAAAACCTCTTATTTTATCTTTCCGTAAACAGTAAAAATGTTAAAATCAAAGTTTTCACATTAGTTTTTACTCATAACAATTTACATCCGTAATCTCTTTAAGTTGTTTGAATAAATTACTAAACTGAAACATTTCAGCTTTTATATAACTTTTACGTATTAAGCTATTGTATTAAGCTAAAACTTCTAACTCGTGGATAATAAAATCACCGAATATTTGTAAACAAAATAAAACAACAAGATTGGTGATTTTTTTGAAAAAATAAGCACACACAAAATAAAACAACATTTTTTAAAAACGAAAAGGTCCAATTGCTATATTTTTCTTCGCATCTTTCCTAAACTACGCTTAGTAGTTACTAGGCTTTGCTAAATGCGTTTTTTAAAGTTCACACAATCTTTCAAGCAAGGTCAGCAAGAAAATTAGAGCTAATAAATGTTCTTAGCTTTCAAGTTGAATTGTTGTTGTTCTTCGTTTAATTTTAAAAATAGTAGTTTTAATATAAAAAATCTGCTTATATTCTTAGCAGATTTTTTTAGCACAGTGCGATTTCTTTTTGCTTCAGCTTATTTATATATATATATATATATATATATATATATATATATATATATATATATATATATATATATATATATATATATATATATATATATATAAAAATATATATATATATATATATAAAAATATATATATATATATATATATATATATATATACACATAGATACAGCCCTTGGAATAAGAAAAAATAAGGTCAGCAATAATTTGCTCACTTTAATCTGTGCATCAGGTTGGCATCAGGTCAGCAGAAAAATTGTAAAGCAAAAGTTTGACCATAAAACACAGAAACAAGGTCTGCATTTTTTTCCCATCTCAAACACTTCTAGGTCAGCAGTGAGGTCAGCATTACCAAATGCAGATTCTAATTCCGAGGGTTGTAGATAAGTAGCTGATTTAAAATAGTATCTTGTTGTTAAAGATTTTGAATAAAAAATTTAGCAGTGAATATTCTTTTGTTATGCTAGGAAAAACTTTTGTAATATTTAAATAAACTTCCAATTTGCAAATACTAGACTATTTGTAAAGATTAATTAAAAATTGTTTAAAGTATTTTGAACATTAAGTAACTATATTTTAGTAACTTTAATTTTAGTAGTTGTTAAATGTTTAAAATAATTAACCAGAAAGTTTGTCCCTTTCCTTACCAATGTTGCTTATCAGATCCATCATGGAATCTTGAACTTATTGGTTCTGAGTCAGAGCTCTAACCACTGTACCATTTGTACTATACAATTTTCATGTACTTTGTAAAAGTAATTATAAAAAGCCATTAAACACTCTACAAGTTTAACTGATGTCTTTATGCACCTTAAAAATCTTTAACACTCACACGGAGAGATTAGAAAATATGTAATAAGAGATTTTTTTTAATAATTAAAATGCACAATTATATCAAAATAATGATTTTAATAAAATACTTACTGGTACTTGAAGTGGAATTAGAACTAAAAGTAGGTGACGAAACTAAAGAAAAAAATTAACACTTTTTTAGAAACAAGTATTTTTTATAAAAATGTTTAACTTTATTAAATTAGTTTGTAGTTTTTAAAATGATAAAAAATTCAATTTAATAAAATTATATATTTAAAATGTATTAATTTGTTACTGGGTATTTTCTTTTATAGTTGTATATGCATATATATATATATATATATATATATATATTATATATATATATATATATATATATACATACATATATATATATATATATATATATATATATATATATATATATATATACATACATATATATATATATATATATATATACATATATATATATATATATATATATATATATATATATATATATATATATATATATATATATATACATATACAACTATAAATGCATGTTTAGATAAGAAGTGTGACATCATACTGCAATAGCCTGCAGCTGAGGGCTTCAGTACATTGACTATCTTATAGCCTGCTGCCACAAATGAGTGGTGCTACATCAACTGAGGGTTTAGGATGAGGCAGCAATTATTTTTTTCATTTTTTTTTCTTTATCTGAAAAAGCCTTATACTAAAAAGATATGCAAAACTAGTAAGCAATTGCTAATCTATATATATCTATATATACAATTTGAAAAAAAAAACAAGAAAAAAAAAAAAAACATACATAAACATATTTAACAATAGTTCTTGAAGTAAGTGTTGAATGTTCCAGCACAATAGTCAAGTATTACTAAAAACCAGGGTAAAAAACTCCTATCTTCGAACCATATCCAGCTAACCCAACCATACTTCAAATTACCTATGATGAATTTCACATCCATACATAGGCTTTATATTATCTTCTGGTGCTAAAAGCTAGCTCAAACATATTCCAGAAACATATTCCTGTGGAAACAGCAATTATGTATTACTAGAAACCAGTGTAAAAACTTATCTCTGAACCATACCTAGCCAACCCAGTCATAATTCAAATTACCTCTGATGGATTTAACATCCATACATAAGATTTACATCATCGGTATACAAGGGAATTGCACTAAGTCCAAAAACATCATTTTGAGATAATGAAAAAATAATTTTATGAGTAATAGTTAAAACAATACATTTTTGCATAACAGTTGGAATAAAAAATCATTATAACTTATTAATAATTGATTTATTAAATTTGTGTGGTATATCAAATGATAGAGAATACTCAATACTAAATAGTGATATAAATAACTCCATACTGCCAAAAATGGATTTGCATTTCCCTTGTATACCAACAATGTTATGTTACTTTTATGAAGTAATCAGATAAATATGATCTATTTATACAATTCACCATGCTTTTAAAATAACTATGGGAATTGAAAGATAAAAATATTGATGATTTTATATAGAATTGGTCCATCCTTAAAACAGCAAATAATATTTTTGAAAGATGCATATTATGCCTTGAAAAAAAATTTAAAATAATTACACAAATATTAAGTCAACCAAGAATGTTTATTAAACAAAATATAGGAATTGATTTCTAAATGCATGCATGAAAATAATTTTCTTCTAAATAACAATAAAAATAATTGAGCTCAAAAAACAATTATTTAAAATATATTAAAAATATATTAAAAAATATATTAAAAAACAAACGCAGAAGTAAACAACTCTAAAGAATTCTTCATATAATAGTATAAGCATATTCCACAAATGTGTAAAAATTTACAGTAGGTAAGACTTTTACAAATTCTTGTTATTTAATTTTTTGTATAATTTGAAGTTTTATTAATTTGAACATTAATTTTTGATAAGTCTTAAATGATAAAACACAGTATAAACTGAAAAAAGTTTGATAAGTGATTATTTACTAATTTATATATATATATATATATATATATATATATATATATATATATATATATATATATATATATATATATATATATATATATTTGTTGCATAAGTTTCAATGGTATCTAGAGCAGATTACACATACACACACAGACCAATAAATATATATATATATATATATATATATATATATATATATATATATATGTATATACATATATATATATATATATATATATATATATATATATATATATATATATATATTTATATACATATATATATATATATATATATA